GCCTAAAATTCGGGTGAAACCAAATAATATTTTGATGGGTTGGCAAAAGTGGACCATGATCTAATGGTCCTTGTGGTATGTGGTTACAACAATCCCTTCAAATTTCAATCTCACCTCAATTCACATCTTGATTACTACGCTTGTTATTTTAGTAAGGACATCGAGATTTTTAGGTGTCACTCCAAATTGGAATTTAACTTTCTACGTTTGATACCACTTAAAAGTCAAGTAACAAATTGAGATCATACATGTAGGAAAGTCTCTCAATGAAAGCACCAATTGTTAGGATTTAAACATACAAGGAGAACTCACTCCAAAAGAATAGTCTATTAAGTGGGAGAGCCTTATAACTTAAATATCACATTAAGTTTGCAATTCTACTTAATGTGAGACTCCTAACAAAATCACTAGATAATTGTGATGCATATAGGTATGAAAACTTTGGTTGACCATGTGTGCAATGAAATGAATGTGGTACCCATGTCCAAGATTGTATAAAGCAACATGCACACCTTATTGCCTTTACATTGAGTTAAAAGAGACCTTCATGCTTATCCAAAATTAACACATATTCTTACAAAGATGGACCTATAGAAAAAGGTCATCTAAAACTTTGTGGATTATATAAGAGTGTATGTCATTATATTTAACACCATTGTCGTAGAACTTCTACATAAAACTAATACCACTTTTATTATCAAATAACTATCTTAATTTTTGGTTTTTCCATATGTAATGTTTCTTAAAGTTGGAACAGGGGAATATATCAGTGGGGGAATATGCGTCTAAATTCGAGGAATTGGCTCGGTTTTGTCCCTATTCTGAGTTGGAAGTGGACGGACGATCCAAGTGCTCTAAATTTGAATTGGGCTTAAGGCCCAAGCTAAAAAGGATGTTCGGACATCAGGAGATTGTTGATTTTGCTACTTTGGTCAACAAGTGTAGAATGTACGAGGATAATCTGAAGACGGCTGAGGTGGCGACACCCAAAACAATTTCTCCCCGGAACTATGGACCTCAACGCAACCATATGCAAGGGAGAGGTAAAGAGAGAGTGGAAGATGACCGGAAACCTTATGCGGCAATTATCGTACATCATGACCGAAATTTCCAAAGGTCTAGACCACTTACCGTTCCTACCAAAGGGGTTTCTACTCCCATGTGCAACAAATGTGGTAGACCCCATTATGGGAGTACATGCCCGGGATCGGGAAATGGATGTTTCCACTGCAAGGAGTTGGGGCACATTAAAAGGTTTTGTCCCAAACTAGATCGGAGACTTAATGTCATTCATGCTGAGGGGGCAAGGAACCATGGTCGGGTGGTTACCCCGAGTAGCGCAGGGACGTCATGTGTTGATGATCCGGTTAGAGGTAATGGCATGGTGACAGGTATTCCTTTTAGTGTTGTTTAATTTGGGAGCGACACACTCCTTATATTTGTTGAATGTGTGAACCGACTGAGATTGTACATAGAGTCGTTGTTTTCGACTTAGTTGTATCCACCCCACCCAGTGTACCGGTGGTAGTTATCGATACTGGTGTCTCAGTGTACTGTTGGGGTAAATGGTAGAACCTTTACCATAGCTTTGATACGCTCAATGATGTCCCAGTTGGATTTAATCCTGACGATGGACTGGCAGTCAGCAAATCGTGTTATGCCTGAATAGGTGATAATTGTTGATGTGAAAGATTCTTGTTAAGTATCTTAGTGAGGATTTAAGATCTAGTTTGCATTGATATGTATATGTATGCTAAGGGGTAAAACTTATATTGTCATATAAGGGAGGATGCTAGTTAAGTTACTTACCCCGTCAATGTGATGAATGCATTTGAATAGACGTGAAACTTTTGGTCTCTGATGATCGGCCCTTTTGCAGTTGAACATTGGCGATGCACGATATGGTGGTGGTGTACACCAATTATCTGCTTTGAATGTTGTACCGACAAAAGTTGTTTCTGTTCCATGAGCGTCAGTAATTGCTATGCATGATTGTAGTGTAACCGTATGAGAGAAAGGGTGTTGAGTTATGTTGAAATGATTATTTAAACTTCGTTTTCACGACATGGTTGCCATAAATCGTGGGTTCAAACCAATTTTGAAAATCATTTTTGGGCAACACGTAACTTGTGGTTGAACATTGATTTAGTATCATGTTGGAGAATTCCATAATTTTAGCAACCGTATCTTGATAAATAGGAGGTTGTTAAAAATTTGGCGATACGATTATGACCATGTCTTTTTAGACGGACAACAAGTGGGATACTAAATTTATATTTGTTATCGTAATTGGGGTATCCAATTCTAAAGCATGTTATGGAACTGAGTTTTTGTCAATTTGCACTTGTCGATTAGTAATAGAGTACTTAGTTTTGGAGTGAATCAATAGTTTTGTGTGTTCGATTGAGGATAGGGATCGGTAATTTCTTTCTACTGTAAGGTATGATATCGGAAATGTTTGACGTAAGGGGATCATTACTGGATAGTCTGATTTTGTACGAGGAGAGAGACTCTAAAAGTCTTTTGTTGTTTAGATGTTTTGTTGAGTGACTACATTGGTTCTATGTGGTAGTGCATACAATGTTGGGAATGCTAAGGTAAATTTTGAGCAAATAGTGGTTTTGTTTAATGAGTGGAGTGAATTTATATTAATCACTTGACTGAAGGTGAAACTAACTAGTGCATGTTGGGTGTTAAATGATGCATTGTTGTAGATGAGGGGTAAGGAGTTCCCCATTCTCTTGGTTTCGGAAGTGTTATTGGGATTCTCAATGTATGTGAAGATTGTTAGCTGGATAGGTCAGAGAGACATATGGTCCTTGATGAATACTGGGAAATATTTAGTCCGGTTACAGTTTTATTCTCTTAGTTGTTCGAGTTGTTCGAGATTGGGATCTTAGTATTTGGACCTTGAGGAGATTGTCCATGAATAGGCCTTGTGATACCACGGTTTAGTGGTGTGTGTGCCCTTGGTGATCGATAAGTAATCGTAATGGATTAGATGATTGAGTATGAATTTTGTTGAGGATATCTTATGCCTAAGGTCTAGGCGATGATATTATTTTCCGAGAGTAGTCTAATAAAATTTTCGAGGATGAAAATTCCTATAAGAGGGGGAGGATTGTAACACCCTAGATTTTAAAGTCTTTAAATTATAGTATCAGTCTCGGGAGTCTCGCTTGAGCGAGAGAATTGTCGCATGAGCGAGAGAGGCTCACCTGAGAGGGTGAAATCCTGGGCTATACTGAAGGATTCTCGCTTGAGCGAGAGTGGTCTCGCCTGAGCGAGAGTTGTCTCGCCTGGGCGAGAAAAATGTCATTCAGGACCTGTCGAAGCTGTGAGATTCTCGCCTGAGCGAGAGGATCCTCGCTTGAGTGAGAGATGCCTCGCCTGAGCGAGAATTGCCTCGCTTGAGTGTGAGCGCCAGATCTGAAATTTTAAAAAGGCAGGATTTTCTCGCTTGAGCGAGAATGGGCTCGCTTGAGCGAGAACCCGACGATTTCACTTTAAAATAGAAACCCCAAACACATTTTAGGGTTAGAAATTGATAGAGAAGTGAGGAGAATGTGATTTTGAGAGAAAGAACTCGTAAAAATTATCTAGAAGCTTGAGAAGAGGTAAATATTTTGACTCCAACTCTCTTTCTCCCTTTCAAACTCGTTTTTGGGTATATGGATCTCTTCTCAAAGTATGAGAAACCATGGAAACTCTTCCTTTAGAGTTATGGTTCGTTCTATGTTGTTTTTCTCTTATAAACTCTTGGTTTAGAGTTGGTATTTGATGAATAGAAAGGTTTTGTAGGTTTATTCATGAAAACCCCAAAACCCCCAAAATGTGAATATGAGTAAAAAAAAGGGAAATGGGTGAAATGTTAAATGTGAGAGATGAGTTTGTGCTTAAATGTTGATATATGAGATGAATATGTATGTTTTAGATGTTTGGAAACTCGTATTAAAGTTGTGTTGGAAACCTTGAAAATATGTGAATATCTTGTATGATTGACGATGAAATACGAGTCGTTTATGTGTTATTTTGAATAAATGACTGACATTGTTGTTATTGGTGGGAATGAGGAAAGATCCTAAGGTTGGAGGAAATTGCGGAGGAAATTCGTAAAGTTACTCGAAACCGACTCCAACGCTCACTGTAACACCCCAAATTTTAAGTCTTGAAAATGATAGTATCAGTCCTCGGATCCTCGCTTGAGCGAGAGATTCTCGCTTGAGCGAGAGAGGTTCACCTGGGAGGGTGAAATCCTGGGGTATAGTGGAGGATTCTCGCCTGAGCGAGGGTTGCCTCGCTTGGGCGAGAAATGACATTTTAGGGTTGTTGACACTGTAAGATTCTCGCTTGAGCGAGAGGGTCAGAGTTGAGTTTTTAAAATGGGCGGGATTTTCTCGCTTGAGCGAGAGAAAGCTCGCTTAAGCGAGAACCCGACGAAAACATTAAATGAGGAAAACCCCAAATACATTTTTAGGTTAAGAATTGAAGAGAGGTGAGAGAAGAGAGCATTCCCAAGGTATAGGAGCATTGATTCTTGTCCAAGAGCTTGAGAAGAGGTAAAACTCTCTATCATAACTCTCTTCTTCTCTTGAGAACCCATTTTTGGTATTATGGATCTCTTCTCAAAGTGTGTAAAACCATGGAAACTCTTTCTTTCGAGTTATGGTTCATTTTATGTTGTTTGTACCTTGTAAACTCTTGGTTTTGAGTTAGTATTCCAAGAATGGAAAGGGGTTTGTGGGTTGACTCATGGAAACCCAAAACCCTAGAGAGAGAAAATGAGGATAGAGAGGAAAGATGGGTAAAATGCTAGAGGTAGAAGTTGAGTTGTTTTACAATGTTAAAATATGAGATGATATGTATGCTTTAGATGGTTGGAAACTCTTACGGAAAGTAGTATGGAACCATTGAGAATATGATAAATATCTTGTATGTTTAAATGATGCAATAAAAGTTATTTATTTGTTATTTGGAATGAATGACTAACATTGTGTTATATGGTGGGAATGAGGAAAGATCCTAAGCTTGGAGATGGTGCCGGTAGAACTTACGAAGTCACCAAAAACCAAATCCAACACTCACCGAGGTAAGGATAAGTCTTTAATTTATGGATTATGTTGGAAAATGCGTGGACTTTCTGTTATGGACGATGGATAAAATGTGAATCATTTAATCATTATGAACATATATGGGTATGTTGATAATGGTTAGAGGTGAATTTACAGTTTACTTATTGGGGGAGTACCAATGGAAATAAGACTCGAAAGTGAAATCATGAAATGTAAATCACTTTGTAGTTATAAGCATACGTGGATATGTTTATAATGATGTCGAGTGTATTTATCATTTTTGTATTGGGGGAGTACCAATGGAAATAAGACTCGGAATAAAGCAATAATTGTAAGTTACTTTGTAGTTACAAGCATATACGTTATGTTGTAATGATATCGGGTTCATTTATTGACTATTTATTGGGGGAGTACCAATGGAAATAAGACTCGGATAATACAATAAATTTGAGTCACTTTGTAGTTACAGGCATATACGTTATGTTGTAATGATGTCAGGAGTGTTTATTGTCTATTTATTGGGGGAGTACCAATGGAAATAAGACTTGAAATATAAAGTAATAAATGGTAAATCACTTAGTCACTACAAATATGTATGGGTATGTTTGTAGCGATGATGGGTGTATTTATGGTTTATGTATTGGTGGAGTGCCAATGAAAATAAAACTCGTTTCAGCCGACCAGAATGGGTTAGCCACTCTAGCTCGAGTTATGTAGCATGGTTTTTCAAAAGTATAGATGACGAAAAAGGTTTTAAGAGTATTTAAATTATATCACTGTTTAAACCTATTAAATGTGGATTAACTTACATTGAAATTTTATTGAATTGATGACTTATTCATTTGTGTTGTTTGTCTATGGTAAATGTTAATCCCATTGCAGGTAGGTGGACGGAAAAAGGATGATTTTTGAGTAGGAGATTAGAGACCTTTATTTTGATGTCTCTTTACCCATTATTTTGTAACTTCAATTGATTATAATTGAATTAACTAATTGCACTACGAATGCTATTTTGTACATGATTTTGATCATGGGGACTAGTAACCCGGGATATATGTAGCTATGGGTATTTTGGAAACCCATAGCTAATTGTATGCGGTAGTTACTAGGTTATACTAATATGAATTATGTTTTCCTGCTATCGGACTGTGTATGTATTTTTGGTTCATAGATCGGGTGTGAGGATGAAGAGAAAGATCTTTTAAATAAATTTATTCACTGGGTAATTATGACTTATCGTTAGATGTACGGAATTGGATTAAATAAGGAAAAAATTTCAAGGGTAGAAAATCGGGTCGTTACACTCACCAAGGTAAGAGATAAGTGTTTAACTTATATGAGCTGACATGAATGAGGTAATATGTTTGTAAGAATATTGTTGTTACCCTACCCGAAGTGGTAGTGGTTTATTGTTGTTACCCTACCCGAAGTGGTAGTGGTTTATTGTTGTTACCCTACCCGAAGTGTAGTGGTTTATTGTTGTTACCCTACCCGAAGTGATAGTGGTTTATTGTTGTTACCCTACTCGAAGTGGTAGTGGTTTATTGTTGTTGTCCTACCCGGAGTGGTAGTGGATTATTGTTGTTGTCCTACCTGGAGTGGTAGTTGATTAATGTTGTTGTCCTACCCAGAGTGGTAGTGGATTAATGTTGTTGTCCTATCCGGAGTGATAGTGGATTATTGTGGTATAGACCTGCCCGATGTGGTATGGATAATTAACTAGACCTACCCGATGTGGTATGGGGAATGAACTAGACCTGCCCGATGTGGTATGGATAATTAACTTGACCTACCCGATGTGGTATGGTGAATGAACTAGACCTGCCCGATGTGGTATGGATAATTAACTAGACCTACCCGATGTGGTATGGGGAATGAACTAGACTTGTCCGATGTGGTATGGATGATTAACTCGACCTGCCCGATGTGGTATGGAGAATAAACTAGACCTGCCCGATGTGGTATGGAGAATTAACTAGACCTACCCGACGTGGTAGAGGATTATCTTTGTGAAAGAACTCGGTGAATACGATTAAGGGTGAACACGATTAATGGGAAATGAGTGTGTTAGAATGAAAGTAATATGCCTTACCTAACTCGACTCAGCCGGATAAGGAATAAGCCTTACCTAACTCGACTCAGCCATATCCACCCCTAGTTATAATAATACTTATGTCATATGGGCTCCCATCAAATGGTAAAATAATATGATTGTAAAGTGAAATGATATTTTTGTTATTATTCATATGAATAGGAGATATACATTTATACACATTGTGTAAAATAACATGTGTAATAAACTCATAAGAAAACTAGTCCTACAACTCCATAATGGATATCAACTAATCATATAATCAGAGTTTTTTATTTTTCGAATTTCTTCTTAATTTATGTGGAAGCATGACTAATGACACTTGGTAAATGATTTATTGAATACATTTAATGATGGTGATTTCAAGGTCTTGGAATTACTCGTTAAACTCTTGAAAACTATAAATCAAACTTAAAAAGTTTGAGTGTGTTTTGGAATTAGTCCACCTTGGTGAGTTTCAGTGCTATCCTCATAGAGTGAAAGAGATACAAATATTTTAATCCTACTTTATACAGTGGGATATTGTCTAGACTGTCCCGTGATTATTTCATTCTCATTTAATTTTGAGGAGATTTTTTCACGTTAAATTTTTTGTGTCATTTTTCTACTTTCCTCTATTTTCTTTATTCACTTGCCACTTACGCAAGTACTTATTTTGCATCACAAATAAAGGAATTTGATTTTGAATTTCCCAACAGTTATTTGTAATCTTAATCTTATCATCCTTCGCCATTTGTTATTTAGTAGGTAGATGACTAGTTGTTATTGTTCCACATTGTAGATGCTCTCTCATAAAATGACAATTTACTTCAATATGTTTGGTACGCTCATAAAAAACAGGATTTGCTGCATTTTGAAGTGTCGATTGATTGCCACATGACAACGAAGGGGGTGTATCACATGCATGACACCATAAGTGCAGATAATAAATTTTTCAACCAAATAAATTCAACTAGTTGCATGAGTCAAAGCCCGATATTCTATTTCACTCGAGGAACGAGAAACTTTCATTTGTTTCTTTGTCTTCCAAGACACGTGAGTGTACCCCAACTTCATCAGATAGCCTGAGATTGATCGTCTTGCAGTTGGATATGCAACCCAATCAAAATTATACAAAACTCCACAAGATGCAAATTGTTCTCTATTGGCATTAAAATTATTGGCCTTAGGAGATGATTTTGTTGGGGGGAAAATTAAGGAAGACTTTATAATAGTGGGAGACTTTATACTTTAAAGATACGTAATACTAAAGATGATGAACAATACTATCATTATATATATAGTCAAGATCTTTCATGTCAAATCATCAAGAAGAAATATAGAACTAGAACTTAAGCGGAAGCGTACCTTAATATATTCATATAGAATATGGTGAATGAACCTTATATCATTCTTAGATGTATCCATCAACTTCATATCCTTGTATCTAATACCCTCATTTATCCTTGTATGCAAATGCATGTTCATAGTAGAACATATAGGTTTGTTGGTCTTCCAATTATATATCACATTTAGCCTTAGTTTCTCCTCTAATGAGATGAAGAGAATAAAGATTTTGTTGTGTGACATCTTGTGTCATTATGTGGTTCATCTTATGTCATGGTGTGTTCTACAACCATAACCCCTATTTATAAGAAGTGCATATCTTTCCATGAAAGGTAATGCCACTTGATTTTGCCCATCATAAAAATAGAAATAAGACTTTAGGTATCTATGCAATAATTTTTATGATAATTATGTCTATAGCCATAAACCTTACTTGAAGTAGATCACTTTAATTTGACTACTTATAATAATGACCCTAAACACATTTAATGTAAGACCCAAAATTTTGATTTCAGATAACAAGTATCATAATTGAAATTTAAACAATAAGGAAGCTAATCTGAATTGGCTTTAAAATTCTTGGCCGTGGAATGGATGATTGAAATTTGAACTTTAAGTTCAACAAAAATATCATAATTTTCAACAATAAGGAAGCTAATCTGAAGAATATCATGTATGATGGATCTGTCTTAACGGAAGATATAATCATGCTAACATATTTTGATTTGAATGAACTTTTAATCCAATTCTAGATGACTTTAATTGATAAGGTGTTTGAAATCCCTTTTCCATTTTAAGTATTTATTTCTATATTTTAATATAAAAAAATTACTTATAAAAAAGTAGTTATCTAATAGGTCATGATTGTTGGTAGGAAAAGGTGAGATGGGGCTAAAAAGTAGAGTAGAAGTGATTATTTGAAAGAAACACTTTCGGAAAAATTTAAAAAATTTCAACCTTTCAATAATCCTGAATTAGCTCTCCCACACATGATTCAATTGAAAATCAATTTTGTTTTTTGTTTTTTACTTTTCACTTTCAACAATACTAGCTTGTATTGTAATTATATGTAACTTATTAAATTAAAGATATTTGATATATTAATGATGGAATTGGCTAAATTTTGTTTTATTACAAAAAAAAAGTTTGATATTTATTTGTCTAATTTTTTATCAAATAAGTACATAAATAATTAATGAATTAAAATAAATTAACTTTTTTGGTACATAAAATAAATAAATTAAACGTATTATAATTAATCTTATATTAAACTCATATATAACTAAAAATGTTTTTCTTTAAATCTAGAATTCAAATTTATTTAATTATTGATTGATCTGTCGTAATTGCTAATTATTTTACTATGTGGTAAATGGATAATTAATTTAATTTGATAAAATATTAAGTGGTAAAGTAGTTTTCTAAAAGTTAGTTTTCAATTATTACAATTTTTTTTAATTATAAGTCTCCTTTTATTTTTATTTAAGAATTATTCTATTAGTTTATTGATTAAGTGAAAAAGTTGCAAATTATTCGGAGGAGACATGTGTCCTTATTTAATGTAATAAAGAATTTAATTTCTAGTATGAAACATTTAAGACATATTTTCAGTACTAACTTTATTAATTTTCACGCTTACCGCATTTTGTGGGAAAAGTATAAAGTGGGTGCAGAATATATTTTATAAGATGAGAGATTCATTAACTTTGACTAAGTTTTTTAAACGTACTCCATATCTTAGCCATCAATTTTATGGAAATCCAATAGTTTGAATTAGTTGGTAGATCTAAACCATTGGATTTCCCTAAAATTGATGGTTAAAATGTGGAGTAAATTTAAAAAACTTACTCTTAAGTAAGGGGATCCCACCCATTTTTTCTAATAAAGGTTTCCAAAAAAAAGATGTGGTAAAAAATAGCATCATAAAACATTTAAATCTCTTGTGACATTTAATTTTTCCTTGAATAATGAATTGTTTAGGTAAACTAAGTTCCATCATATTCTTTTCATGTTAGTTCTTTTTACATTTGTGATAGTGATCATGTACCTTGTTGTAACTTATAATTCTACCCTTAATTTGTGTGATATTAACAATCTTTCTAACTTGGTAAAGTCTTAATTTCTTTCTATCATTCAATCATTATCTTGCCTCTTTTATTAGTATGCTCCTCATTGCACCAAGTATGAACATTTAAATAAAGTTAATATTTTAAATTACCGTGGTTGTAGTCGTTACGATTTCAGTCATTGTGATGTAAATTTTTTATTTTAAATTGTTTTGAGATATGATGTGACCCGATGTAATTGCACCAATATGATTTGATATAATATTATTACACCATTCACCACAACTAAAATATTAGAGCCGCATTTATTGATACAAGTAAAGCAATGAATAGACCTTAAACTTAAGAAATCCTTTTGGTGATGAGTTAGAGTTGACTACTTGTTATTTATTAAAGTTTCCACTTGTATGATATTGTTGATGAATTTTACATATGCATCCAAATTTATTAATATGTGAAACAAGGAGAACAAATATAACAAGAGGTAAAACAATTGAATGATTTAAGAATCAA